AAAGAAAGGACAGAGGACTTCGGTGTACAGGACTAAGGTGGGGAAATAGACGGGGGGAGGGACAACCGCCAATGCTCGCCCCAGCAGAAGGAGGGGGGGGGGAGGGGAAGGTGACGACTGCCTCGCAGGAAGTGATGGGTGTGGAGTCAGCAGTGGCTGAGACAGTGGCCTCACCTAGACACACTGCGGAGGAGAAAATCTAGCCTAACTGCAAAATAAAACTGTACTGTGTAAAAACATAACTATAAAAGGTCCTCTTAAAAAACATACTGCCCTCAACAGTTACTCTCACTAAAGGAAAAGGGATGACATACACAATTTTCCTTACACCGAACACGGATCATTACTAAGCACAAAAGTCATTCTGTGTTCAGAAAACACCAGAGGACACCGTCATCTTGTAGGTCGTCCTTGGGGAGATCAGAGCAGATGTGGGAACAAGGCTTCCAGACCCTGATGAACGACAACCCACCACACAGTCCTTAGACAATTCTATAACGGTTGCACTAAAATTTTATTTTTTCCATTGAAAGCCACCTGTCTCCTTGTAGGAGAAGCGTGGACTAAAGCACAAGGCAGAAACAGGCGCTTGCTCTCTATGAAAAGCAGAGCCCTCATCATGGCCAGGGCCGGAAAGAACAGACCCTCCTGCTTTCCTGTCCGGCAAGTATCCCCAACGAACCCCCAGCCGTGTCCCCCAGTGCAGTGCCACAGGACCAGGCCCGCAGCCCCGAGCGGCACCACGGCCCTTCCACTGAATGGAATACGCGTTCAGGAACACGGTCAGGAGGCTGTCAGCTTGTTTCGGCCGATGCCCCCGGGTGCTACGGGCTTTGGGAAAAAGGAGACATCTAAAACTCATTCCTGGGACCTCTCTCCTGGAGACGTCTCCATAACTGCACTGAACAGGACCACACGGCAGGAGCTTCCCAAACACGAGGCGAGGACTCGCTTCTGTACCTTAACTTGGAAGCAGCCCTGGGTCATCTCGGTTCCCTCACCAACTGTGCGATCTGTAACCTGCGGCCAGACGCTTCAGGTTTCAGATTCGATGCAGACACGGGTGACGTGGTCAAGAAACAAACCCAGGACATGTAAAATCCAGAGGGATGGGCTAAAACCCCCTGCACCCCCCCCCAGTCTAACCAAGCCCACCAAATCTACATTCTAATGGCCGATTTTCCGGGGATCGCCGAGACTTCCTTTGCCTGTGCCCCTGATGGAATTAATGAGAGAGGCCGAGAAACGCGCAGGCCTGGATGCCTTGGGGGTGACGCTAACAAAGAAAGAAATTCCAGTTTATTAGCACTGCCCCACCGCTCGGGCCCGACTGCCTGCTCTGAATGTTCCAGAAAGAACCTGCACACACAGCCAAATCCCTGGAACTAACATGCTTACGGACTTGGAGGGGGGGTGTTTTCCAACTGAACGTTGGTCAAAACAGCAGCCACCACACAGACATCTGTTTCAGAGAGGCGCACACGTCCCCCTGCTTCCGCAGGCCACAGAGACCCCCCCACACCCCCGGTTAACATATCGCTGACAGGGGGATGGGGGAGCTGCTGTCAGATGCTGGCCGCCAGGCGTCGGGACAGCGCGCGTGGCCCCAGCTGACTCGTTAGAGGGGGTCTGGTGAGATGCAATTATCGAGGCAGATGACAGGACTTCATGCCTGACTGAGCCGAGGGCGGATGACACGGCTTTGAACAGCAATCTTCCCTCCTTCTGGCCACAGAACAGCAATAAGGCAACTGATAGACCCTTGTAACACGATGATGTCTTCCTCCGCGTGGCGGGCGGAGACTCGGGCCGATTGCTGCTGGTCCAGCCGAGACGCACCAGGGTGGCGGCCCAAAGGCTTGCCAACAGCCCGCCTTGGACCCCCGTCCTCCTTCGAGATCCCCAGGACGCCCCCCGCGCGCGCTCGGTGATGAATTTATCAACAGGATGAACACTGACGTGCTCAAACTCAGACACATGCAGAAAGAATCGTGGGTTTCAGCAAAATGCCGCCCTTTGGGGTGTGGGGAGAAAGCCCCTTAAAATTGTAATATAACAATACTCTGATCTTTCGCAAACGTATCTCAAAACCAGTTTTTCATGTTAAAGCTTATCGCGATAAAGGTGATTACAAATTACAATTCTAACGACAAACAGTGCGTAAAGAAAGGGACCCCCGAGTGGTCAAATTCTCCGACAGCATGTCACCACCGCTCCCAGTGAGAGACGAGGTGTGCAAAAATGGTGCGAATAAAATGGTGACTGGCAAAGCGCACACCCCGACAAAGTCTCCAAAACTACCACAAACAATGAATGTAAATACAGCTTAATTTACATGTGTTTTAATTTTAGATCATTAAAATCTTGGCTGTAGATTTTTAAAATGATTAAAGACATTATAGTCTTCATGACATATCAATAGTATAAGAAAGTAAAAAGCTTAAAAGTCAGTTCATTGACATTTTAATTACCCTTTCTTTGGATGTATCGGAGTTTTCACTGAATTCTTTCTAAAAATAGTTTATTCCTAATTTATGTGTGGTACTAGCCTTTGACCTTACGATTTGCAGCAGATATAGATATATATGAACTTTTCAAGATAGATTTGGGCACAGCAGCTTCCCCCAAAGAAGAAGGGGAAGGAACATACCGAATGTGACCTTGATTTACGCATCTGTTATCAGTCCTGCCGCCCACAGGAAAGAAGCAAAACAACGATGGCAACTTACACATGACATCACCAGCAAGTGTTCCTTCCAGACGGTCACGGAGACACAGGAGACAGCTCCCTGAACGACAGCAAGCGCTCACCAAAGTAATCTGTCTCCTTCACATGAATTAGAGGGTGGGGCAGGTTGGTTTTTACCCTGAAGTGTGTGCCTCCTCCATCAGAAAACTATAGCCGATAATCACTGAAGAATCATTGACTCTTAGGCAGATGCCTACGCACTTCAGTGATATGCACGTTACATGTGTGTATGCACAGATACACGTGTGCATGTATGTGAATGTGTCCTTGAGCTTCCCGGCAGTGCTGCAGGATTGACGAGTATTACGCCACTATCCTGGCTTCCAGGGGAAGACGGTGGGTCGGACAGGACCCCCAGCCGCTAGGGGCGCTTCTAAACGACAGCAGAGAGAGACACCACTATCTTACAAAACCAAGTATCAGACCCACCGCGGAGCCTTCCTGCATCCAGCAGCTTTGCATTCACTGGCGTGGCGCCCCCCACCTCCTCCCCCCTCCGCCCCAGTGCGAGGCCTTCACGACCGCCCCCTAAAACAGAAACGCGCCCGCACCCTGCGCTCTGCATGCGCGCACACACTCACTTTCCTCCCTTACTCATCCTGGCAGGATGCAGAAACTGTTTCCTCATTCATGTCTTCATCTGCTTCATCCGTTAAACCTACGCACTAAGAGCACTTGACTTTGCTTGGCTTACCGCTGAGTCCTTGGTGGCGAGGGAGTGCACCCCACACGGTGCAGAGCGAATACTTGTTCCATGAGTTACCTTTGATAAGAATTCAGTTCCCTGACCTCTCGAGACAGTGTGTACAATCTTTCTGGTCTTCAGGACAATTCCATAGAGAAATATTCTTTATAACCATGAAAAAAAAGTCATGTTTAAAAACTGACCAGGCTGAAGGGAAGAGGGAGGAGAAAGAAGAATGGTTTCGCCTCAAATGGTAAGTTTAAAACAGCGGAAAAGCAAATTTATGAAAAGGACCAAATGATTCAGACTGAGTTCCCTATCCCGCCGAAGCAAACGTGGGCAGTTACCTGTGGCGCCGACAAGCACCTGCCCACCTGCCCTCCCACGGCGAGGGGTCATCTCTCCACCCCCATCCTCCATGTACACGGAGCATTCTCCTCAGTAACCAACACAGTAGCTTTTCAATGTTTTGGGAAACTCGGCATATCAATGTGGCAACTCAAAACCTCAGCATTGGAACATGTCAATTGTACAGTAACGGAAATAACCCAAATCCGAGTCAGAAGACCCAGGATCACATTACCCGTCTGCACCGAGCTCCCTGGCGTTCGGGTCAGCGCTGTCCCCCCTGGAAGCGCCTTTCTCATCATTCAACACTGAACAGACTCCCTAGAAAAATCCTGAACTCCTTCTACTCTGAAACCCTAAAGTTTTAGAGAATAAAGTTCTTATTTCTACTACGGAACAGAACACACATAATCTTATTTTTATGAACCGCCCAAATGTGTAAGAAGAAAGCAAATTCAGACAATCTTAAATAAGGGTTTTTAATAAATATCTCATATCTTACTCTAAAACTATACTTAGATTTATAGGTAAGATTTTAAGTCAACCAAAACTATCAAACCTGGTAATGTCTAAAGCACAAAAGAAAATAGGAAATCTAGCAGAGTTACTTCTGACTCTTCTCTCTGCCTCCTGGTGCCCAGGGCAACCTTGCAAAGAACATTTTAGTGAGTAGTGGAAGATGTGTGATTAATAAAAAATGCCACTCTGACTTTTACGTTATTGTCAGTCTGAAGAGCCCCTCCAAGTCCCAACGACTATAGAACCTTCTACCCAACCACCACTTGGCAACAAAGAACGGCCCACCCATCACCAGGTGAGGACGGCCCCTATTGTTGGGGCCAGGGCTTCTTTCAAGGAGCGCCCATGGAAAAAGCCACAAGTGAATAATAAAGATCTCATAATAGCGCCTAAGAGTTCTTTATATTAGCAGAAGGCAGTAAAATGAACTCTGGAGAGTTAAAAAGGAAAAAGGAAAAAAAAAAAACAACTCTCATCTCCCGATAAGAAAAAATAATTAACCTGACTTAATGCATCCGAGAAGGGCTTCCATAAATCAGACTTTTGTCCTTCAAGGGCCAGATTAAAACCATTTATCAAAAAACGTAGGTAGACATTGTCTCCCGAGCACGCCGAGGACATTTCCGAGTCCGCAGCGGGGTGCGCGGCTTTTTGTGAGACACTCAATGGCGGCGCGTGAGGACGGTGTGAAGTACTCACAGTGCTTAGTTTGCTGGAGGTGACGATGATGCGCCTCTCGTGCAGCATGCTGGCGTACAGCTGCAGCATGTTGTTCACGTCCACGGCCACGAAGTACTCCGTGAGGTTTCTCTGCACACGGAAGAACCACGGGGCACGTTAGAGCTCAGGGGGACGACCGGGGGGAACGCTTCTGCCCATTTTGCCAACAGGTCTTCAAGTTCTAAGGACGTCGTTATTGTAATTAGCCACCGAAATAATTGCACTGGCTGTCATTCTCCCGACACGCAAAGCATGGAACATGCTATCACGACCTGACATGCAGCCCTGCTCCAGGAGAGCGTTACTGGGAGGGGCATCAGGGGACCATGCATTTGCGACCCCCCCCCCCCAAGGAGTTGGCAAGGAAGCAGCTTCTGGGGCCCCGACCGGGACCTGCTGCCCGGTCGCCTTGGAGTATGGCCCCAAGAATCTGTCTTTTTAACCAACGCTCCTGGAAATTTGACTACATGCTGGGCTGCTCCAGAAAATACATGAGCCTCTTTACGTAGCTGGGCCAGCCAGGCACTGCCTGGTGCCGTGCCCACGGTGCCCAAGGCGGAGGGGGACTCAGCGCACAACTCTGGCTCTGGACTCGGGAAAAGCCCCCATTCACGTCCCCTGTCAGGCCTGCTCTCTGCTACCCCAACCGAGTAAACTCTGGGGGTGGTCTGACACCCTGACTTGTTACTTTTAATTCTTTTTCCCACAGAAGAACAAAATTGGGATAAAGCTACATTAACCTTGACTTTTGGATCCTCTCCTTCCTATTTTTAAAAAAGTTTCTGTGCTCCAATGTAAGCACACAGAAACTCAATGAAGTAATGAAGACAGCGGAGGAAGTACGATAATAAACTGAAACTCTAGTACCTGGTGCACTATGCCCAGAAAGGCTAAAACTTTGAGTGGGCAAAAAACCAGAAAATCCGATCATTTCTTTGATTTCCTGTCCATACAGGGTCCAAAAGTATATTTGTCACTCGCACTTACCCATGTAAACTTTCCTACCAAATATTAATTGGTCATGAGTATTAGAAGACCAGAAATATTACCAGTAGGGCTACATTAGGACTTAAATAAAATGCAGAACTTAGCAATTTTTAATCATTTCTTCAAGCCTTACAAAATATGTCATTACCTAAATGAGAATCCAGAATTCAAGTGCAGGACACCTAAGATTTGAACAGAGATGTACATGCGGGAATCTGAAACTCTGTGGCCAGTTCACTGCACTGAGTGTGTGGGTGAAAACAGTTCCCACGAACAGAAGCCATCCCCTACAAAATCTCCTCCACCTGACCCTAGGGGACACACACAGCCCCCCTGAACTACCTCCAGGGACACGAAGGTTTGTGCTCACACCAGGGACTCAGAAGGGGGTCGAGTAGCAGGTGTGTAAAGAAGAGAAAGGGCCCTGGCTGGAGGGCTCAGTGAGTTGGAGCATCAACTTGTGCACCAAAAGGTCGCACATTCGATTCCGGGTCAGGGCATGTTCCTAGGCTGCAGGGCTGATCCCTGGTTGGGGTGTGTATGTATGGGAGGAACTGATCCATGTTCCTCTCTCACATCGACCTTCCTCTCCTACCCCCCACCCCCACCCCTGCTTTACTCTCTAAAATCAATAAACATAAACTCGGGCGAGGATAAGAAAATACATTAAAAAAAGAGAAGAGAAGAGATAACACCATTATTCCTTATTCGTTCTTTCTCAAAAACACATCGAGTTACTACCCTATTTTTCAGACCATAAGACACTCCTAGGCTTTAGAGGAGGAAAATTGGGGAAAAATTTTTGAAGCAAAAAAATGTGGTCGAATATTTCATAACATCAAGAACGTCGTGTTTCACCAGGGTAAATGGCAACAGAATTCAGCAGCAGCATTAACAACCACATTCCTCCCAAATATTTTTTTTTGGGGGGGGTGAGTTATAGTCTGAAAAAACACGGTATGTATTTATTCTGTCTCTCATCCAGGGGCCCTTAAACAGTGACACCGGAATAAGTGGAATTCATAACAGGAAGAGAACAGAGGGCAGAAAACTCACGCTCTCGGGGATGGTGGGGAGCCCGGTGACGTCGGGGGCAACGAAGCAGGAGTGCTGGTCCACGGGAACAGGCATGGAAAGAAGCAGAGTTACAACCGAACAGCGTTTCACAAAACTTGGGGTAAAAGGGAGAGAAGTATCGACTCAGCTTGTAAATACCATGGGCTGACGCTCAGGTTGTGTTGAATTTGAGAGATTTTTAATGGGATGACAGGTTTATGTGAGATTTAACAATAACTTTCTCACATAAAGAATTAAGTATTGGTTAAAAATATTTAATTTTAAAATTAAAAGTCCAGGAAAAAGTTTACTAAGACAGAAAGTATAACGAATTTGTACATTATCAGCCACTATATTATACAGAAAACAGCATAAAGCATAACTTTTAAGTATTCACTCACTTTATAATACGACTTTCAGACACCCCCCCAAACAAACATGAATTAGCATCTGAAACACTCAGAGCAACGTAACGGTCCACGGATGTCACCTGCCTTCATGTCCCCATACCCAATGTGACCACCCCGAATCACAGCACAAGTAAATCACCACGGTTGTCTTATTTTCTGTTCATAGTAATCTCCAGAATCGGTTCACTGTCTTCATCTCATAAGGACGTGATTGAATGCCACCTCAGAATTAAAGATGGGGACAGTCCAGCCACCGTTGCACACGGTGGGGCTCGTCAGAGCAAGGCTGGGTCACCCGGCCACGATGCACAGCTTTTTGGGGCAGGGGAGCAATACGAGATAAGTCACGAGGTCCCTAGAGGCCTTGTGACAAAAAAAAGTAACGGAAATCACATGCTCTGAATGTCCTTCGACATCACCGGGGTTGACAATGAAGAACATGTGTGGGTTTGGTCTCTATAGCTGCTTTATTTGGAGGGTTCTCCAATAGCTCTGCGGTTCATACCACTACGCTTTATCAGATAGTATAAACAGAAAATATACCCCAAATGATTAATGTTCTTAAGAGAGACACACTTCCCACTTCCCAAAGGACCGGAGGGAATCTCAAAGACAGGGAAAGCAGCAGTGATTTGCACAGCGGGAGAATGATTTTTAGAAGCCAATGTCCTCTGAACTCACCGGTACTAAGGAGGGCTGCTCTCTCAGAACTCGCTCACTGGCAATAAATATCTCTTGGTTCTTACAATATGTGAGAGAGAAAATGAATATTTTACTTTCCCGGGGGAAGTTCACACAATGGTTTGCTGTGTATCTGAGACAAACCCACAGAGCCACACTGTCCACCAAAAACACTTGAATAACATTAATTATGTTATTTTAAATGCAGATCTGCTCATTTTATGCTAGAAAAATTCTAAAGAAAGTATTTTCATTCTCAACTATAGTGGAGAATACCGTAGATAGTTACTGATTTGGAAAGACGGTTTCAAAATAATCATTAACACTAGATACTAGACTTTCACAAAGTCTCTGTGATATTCTAGTGGCTATAATGGCAAGTCCTGAAAACTCCATGTGCTGACACATTCACAAAATGGAAGGTTGTAAGAAAAATCATAGTTTCTCCAGAGTTGTCTTGTTTAGCTAACGGGAATTCTGCAAACAAACGACAATTTCTTTCCACCTGAGGGTGAACAAAATTCCTAACTCAAAACACAAAAAAACCACTATAAGTAGTTAAAAATAAGTGATTTAGTTGAAACTCTGGGCACCGCTAACGGTGTTTAAGTCTGGGTTCGTGCCTCCAGTAACCTGTTTTTGAAATCCAATGACATCACTAAATGGACTTGGAAAGTTAAGGCAATATTTTATTCACCAACACTCAAGACACTGTGTGCTGCATGGACAACAGGTGTACAGGTCTGAAGGCTGGCACAGACTGCTGATTCGAAACCTTTCAAAAAGCCTCCCGTTGTCAAAATAACTGTCATACACAGAAATAGAACACAGTCACTCAAGTTTCTTTGACAATATCATTTTCGCTGCAATAAAAAATATCTTCTCCACACGAAATGAAACTTCGGTGTCCTAACAGCTAACATTTGAATAGCTTTTCATGGTATATATGGATGTATCATTTTCATGTAATTTCCCAACCAACTTTCCTCAAAGATCAACTCACTTGATTTCTCAAATGGAGAAAAGGGATCATCAAAAGAGATGCACTTTTCTGCCTAATATCACATATTTAGTGACTGGGACTTAAACCAAACTCATCTGGTCTTACAGCTTAAAAAGACTAGAAGTGTATTATTCACAGGTTTTATTAATAAAGGGTGTTTCAATACCCAATATTTTTGAAGTGTATTTTTATAAAACACTTACTTAGTCCTGAAAAAACACATACTCCCCCAAGTTCGAGAAAGAACACATTTTAACTTCTCGTTAATACTCTCTGCGCCTCTACTGTCTCAGCACCCACACCCGTTCAACCCTTTACCAAAGTGCTAGAATCGCCTCCTACGTCCCAGGCTTTTGAAGAAAGACCCTGACGTGTAGAGGACCCAGGGCTTTTCTTCCTTCTCCTTGACGTTTTTCCTTGGCCTTTCCACGTTGTCCCCATGAACCTAACCCTCGCATCGTTCTGGTTTCGCTCACCGACGGATAGGAGCTGCCCTTCACTGCCCTGTCCTCTGAATCTTTAGGGCGAGCAGACGCGGGCCTCTGCACACGCTGCCCTCCAGACAGACTGATGATGTCTACAGCTATCCCTGCAGAGACCGCTCCAACCTGGGTTCACAACTCCACAGCGCCCTTAGCTGTCCAGCCCCCAATCTCCACGGGACCACTAAGTGGCTCCACTGTGACCGAAGGCCAGACAAGAGGGTGCAGACCCAAAGGGGCAGAGATCACGGGGGAGGAGGAAAAAACCACTCAACGCTGTTACGACAAGAGGACGTCCCACAAACGTGGGAACTGAGCTCTCGGGCCTGAAGACGGCTGGTCCACCAGGAGGCTCTGCTAGCAAAGGAAGGGGGCCACGTGCAGGAGTGTGAAATCATCCAAGGAGGGGGACAGAGCAGACGTGACCAGGGCGGGGAAGTAAGAAAAGTGAGACGGCAACAGGAAAAGGTGGGCTGAGGCCCAGAAGTGGGGGCGGTGGAGGAAGCCCGGCCGGAAGCTGGGACAAACCATACAGAAAATGAGGAGCTTTAGTTTTGGGGGGGAACCTGGTAGAAGCTTCCACAGTAAACGGTCTACCAGCCCAGGCTTCCTGTTTCGGGAAACTCCAGTCGCATTTCCAGTGTTTGGAGATTATACTAGAATAAGCGCTTATGGAGAAACTTTTCCCCGAAAATTCCTGCCGTATCATCAGTAATAGGTTGCAGGCTCTATTTTTGGTTCTCATCATGTACTTCTTTCACTGTGGAAGGAGCATTCGGAATGTTTTTGGGGTGCGTGTGTGTGTGTGTGTGTGTGTGTGTGTGTATTTCCTCATGAGGGATGGATTGTACCTGGAAATCGGTGTTCCTCACACTCGCTATACTCTTGCAGACTTGGTTCCTTCTAGCGAATAATAAATAAAACATCTGTGATTTCAGAACTACCCAACTGCACACCCCACATAGCGAGTTATGATAGCTGAAGCGCGTCCCGGAGTCTCAATGGCATCGGTGAGTAGTGTCTGTTCTGGGGGCAGAGTTTCCTGGGAACAGGGGAGCCCCGGACTGAGAAACGTCTGTGAGTCCAGAAAACCACCAACTGGCTGAACACTCACCACGTTCAAACTGACAGGGCTGTTTGCCTTTGGTACTGGGTGGTCATAGAGCGCTCTGAGAGTTACATTCAAATCATCTTCCTACAGTGAAAAAACAAAGTAAACGTTATAAATAAAACGCATGTGAGGCAAGTACAATTAAAACGACTCAGTAAAGCTACGCACTGTCCTTCTCATACCGAACTGGCTTTCCCTAACTGCTTTCCGTGGGGATGTTTTATATACCTAAAATCTAAATATTTAAACGTAATAAATATGGAAAAGATATTCCTCTCTCTTACCCAGAAAGACTAATGGCAATATTTACATTTAGTATAACTATTTAGTAAAATTCAATTACTATAAAACATACAGCTACCTATAGAAAGAAATTATTTAATCATTAGATCCAAGAACAATGGAATTGTATAAAAAGAATACAACTCTTCATCAGATTACACGAAAGCTTCCATTTCCCATTTTAATTTTAAAGTCTCAAACCCACTTTTTAAGGAATAAGCATAATTTAAATAAGACTCCGAATTATTCTAACATCCAACACAGAGGCTACCCTAAGTATTTTGTTTCTAAGTAGCTACTGGTCACTCCTTGACCCACGAAAAGAGAGGGGGGTTAACACACAAGCTGCTGCTCGGTGTTTGGGGGAAAGGAGTTCGGACACATGCGGAGGACACGACGGACCGTGAAAACGTGCTTAGTGGCGTGAGCCTGTCTCGGAAGGGCAGGCCTGGACGATTCCGCTTCTGGGGGGGGACACCCTCACGTCCGCACAGACATCAACCACAAGGGCTGTCGCCAGGGACTGGGGGGAGGGGACATGCGACGACACTGTGTAAAGGGGACAGAGTCTCAGTTTGGGAAGACGAGAGAGTTCGAGAGGATGGGGTGGACGGCTGCAGAACAACGTGCGGCTGCTGACACAGACCTGTACACTCGGAAGGGGTTTACGGTGGTTGATTTTATGTCCTGTATGTTTGGCCGCAGTAAAACAAAAGGGGAGGGCAGGCACAGCTTACCTGTCCCTTAGCCAAGTAATCTGCCAGAGTATTCAGAAGTTTGTAGTACACTTCAAACCACGGCAGGTAACTGTAAAAAGAGGAAAAAAACCCTTAAAAATGTACACATCTTACTGAAAGTCAAAAAAACAAGTTGACAAAATAAACATTAAATGCACACCGTCTCCAGCAGTTTGATCCCAGAGGCGGAACAGAACGAACCTCTGCCCCCTTCCCCGTTACTGTGACACCTTCCTGTCGTCTGGTTGTAGCTCTCACAGCATGACCGGACCCCCAAGTCCCACCACGAACTTTGTCCATTACTAGCTTCCACTGTACCGTCAGGGACATGTGAACCTACCCCACCCCGGCACGGTGCCCACAGTACGGGAACAGCACGAGCAAACCCAGGACCAAAGTTGACCACTGCAGTGACATGAAATATGACCCAGACACTAAGTTTAAAAGTCTTCTAAAGCAAAGATGCGATCATTTTTTGAATGCTGCTGAATTGAGTATATAATGCAATAAAATTATGCACTTAATCCATGTTTTAGAAACTGATGTTTAAACAAAATAGTACATCTCAAAATAAATATCGAGTAACAGAAAGCCTATTTTTAAAAGCAGAAATATTGTAAATAGCTTTTAAATGTCAAAACAAACTTTGTCACTTAGAATTTGTTTTTGCGGAAAGGCAGGCACCGGTGCGGGCGTGGGAGGAACTGTGGCCAAAATGCAGGCCACACACACGGAGACGAGAGCGTCACAAGTGGTCACGGACGTCCGCGCAAGCTCGACAAAGAACAGGATGCTACTGAGCCAAGTGAAACGTAACAAAGAAGTAAAAAATCACTAGACAACAAAAAAGAGCTCTTTAAATTCAAAATATAAAAGGCGAAAAAAAATTAAAATCAATACAAAGCTTGACAACGAAAGCAAGAATACCTCCTAGGAACTAGAAAAAGAGGCAAACAGATGGACCATAAGAGAGTAAATATTCAAAGATTAAGGCTTCGATCTCAACCATCATGTAGTTGACTAAAAATTTCAAAAACAAAGAAAAGAGTACAGGAGGAATAGAAATTTCTTTTTAAAAATTATTGGAAAAATTCCTAGAACTTGAAGCAGGAGTGCCCAGATTGAAAGGGGCCCACAGGGTGAACGGCGGAGCAGCAGCCAAATCAGGGCATCAGAGTGACATTCCAGAACAGGGGACAGAAAGGCGTGCTCTGATCAGCACAAAACAGGCAACGTGCAGAGCGATCAGATTCGGAACCTCGCCGAACCTCTTCACGGCAGCACCGGGAAGCAGGAGACGGCACCTTCCAAAACGCAGAGGGTAAGTCCCTCGGGACCTGAAATTCTTGGTCTGGAGAAACCATCGGCCATGTGTGGAGACAGACCGCACAGCGTTTCGATCGAAGTCAGGGCACAGCTTTGAATTTCACCAGCTCCGTGCTTCTGGGGGGCAGCTACCCCACGATGGCTTCCGCCACGCGATGACTGATACTGTGGACGTCACCACGTCCTGTCTTCTGTCCTCACTGTGATGCCACAAAGCACTTCCCCCAGAGGACGTTCTACAAAGTCACGCTACGGTTCTTGGATAAAGAGCCATTTGTGTGTAGCTGTTTTGTGTTCACATTTCTACTTTTCGTGGCCCAAAGAAACTGCTATTCCAAGGAAAGTCCCATGTGTGGTGTTGCTCAGACCTGTGTCCCCAGTGAGGTGAGCCCCGACCTACGAAAGGAACCAGCGAGGCCAGTCTGTTTCTGTCCTGCCCTCAGGATAGAGCCAATCGTACTGACCTTATCGTGTGCCCTACCTACATGGTCAGGTGCACCTGATTCAAGTCACAGAAAACCTGGGGTCATGTTGCTTTTTCTAGACCAAATACCTTAAACGCTCCTTTGAATGTTCTGGTCTTCTCACCTTTACGTACTTTTCATGGATTACCCTCCCCTCTCGACTTCCTTTCAAACTGTGAGGATGAACTGAAGCCCAATGTTTCATTAAGAAGCTGATTTATACAGAGAAGTGTGTTTTACCTGTAAGATTATGTCCCTGCTTTTGAAAACGAAATGATTTTAATTAATCCACAATTAATATTTGGATGTCCAAACACAGAAAACTACTTACTTTTCAAAATGTAACACGTGCTATCTGAGCTGGGTATTTTGATTTTTACAGAACGGGCGCCGTATGTTATGACCTCGTCGGGAGCGGGCTCTGGCGGGCCCGTGTACACGCTGCACCGAGCTCCGTCCTCACGTGCACCCTCCCATTACCACCTGCAGAGCAGCGGGGCACGGGGATGTGGGACCACACCTGCAAACCCAAGTACCAGTATTTTTCTTAACGACTCACAACCAGCTTTACACTGTGAGCCATTTCTCACAGGTCTCTGGGACTCCTTGGCTGTTTCTATTCGGACAGTGCTGGTCGGTTCTGTGCCCATCTATGGAGTAGAGAGCAGAATCTGAGAATGAGAGGCTCTACATGTTAAAATAATTGGAAGCACGGGGAATAAAACTTCTTAAGCATGAACTACACGTAGGAAAACACGCCTGGTGCTTTGTATGTGTTATCCCATTTAATTCTTACGACAGCACTAGGCTGTATGTTTGAATAAGCTAAGGTACAGCAACGTACCTAGGTTGCAGAGCCACCGAATAGCAAGCCTAGGATTAGAACTGGGCGTGCCGGGGGACCAGAGCACACTCAGGGGCCCTCCCAGTGCGGGCCCGTCTTTCTGCACCATCCAGCCTTCAGGTAAACACGCCAAACACCAGACATTCTCAGGCAGCTAAGTGGACAGCGACAAAGTTCATTCTGGCTTCACCCTGAATCATCCAGCTTGTACTTCTGTCCACGGAAGCAAATCCTATCTTCCAAAGTGAATGTGTGTGTGATCACAGCAGTATCTTCATGCCTTTACATTACGTGGCATTCACACTGGAAAGCGCCTCAGCAGGTAAAGAACTGTCTAATTAGATTCCTTCGCCCCGCACGGTAACTCCCTGCCACTCCCGCAGACTTCAGTGCTGCGCTGTGCCCCTGGAACGGATAAAAACCGTGAAAGAGGCATGGCCTGCCACGTGGTACGAGGTCCCCCCCCAAACTACGTAACTGTGTTTATCAGCAATCCAAGGATGGCACTGCTGCCACAGGAAGACTCCTCACTGCACTACCTGTAATCCAGCCAACGTCTTTCTCTCTGTGACTTGTTGACAGGCACAGTGGGGCACCCGCTTTCGAGTTTCCTCATCAGTACTGCCTGGCACCCAGCGGGCACCGCCACGGGAAGGACCTGAGCTGAGGTACACACCGGGCGTCTTTGAGAACGCTCGATGGCTCTCAGTGACAACCAGCTCCTGTTGAAGAGCACGTGCCATTCTTGGTCTTTAACACAGATGTCACTTCTATCGAAGAGGAGCCACTCTGCAACCCCGTCAAGGACAGGGACATCCTTGTCAAGGATGCAAGGACATCCTCTCCTGCAAACAGACAGCGACGCAGGGAGCGAGCTGGCTGCTACACACTGTCTAGCCCACGGGCTTGGTCCCCTCACCCCTGTTGTCATTTAAGCTGCCAACTTCTGACGAGATCGGGCGCGTTCAGGGTGGTATGGCCATAGACAAGTTGCCGACTTCTGAATCTGGGATCATTCACTTAAAAATCGAGATTTTTAAAAAGCAAGAGAATGACCCTACTGGTCACACATTTTTTGCTTTGCAAGAAATGTGTGATGGCTTCTGCTTTTGAATGTGGTACACTCTCCCCAGCTTCCCAGGGCCAGGACACCTGGCCTGCTTGCCTCATTGGAGTCCCCTACCTGGTCCCTGTAGGTACTTGAACTCCTGACCCGTGATACGGAGCAACTACTCAACAGAAGGCTTTACTCACTTTTTATATGACAAAAAAAAAGTGGTGTTCAGTACACAGACCAGACAACAATGCAAATACCTTAAAAATAGTTCATTACAAACTTTTAGGACAAAAATGTGTGACCCAAATAGCAGACATACATATACACACACACACACATAATATAAATACAATAAATCAGATAAGCTCACCTTACTTGGGTAAGAAATACTATTCTGTTTTCATTTTTGTGGTGTTTTAAGATAATTTAAAAATATATACATATATGTTCAACACAAGTAATTTTTAACTAATGAATAAGCATTTAGGCTGATTATCAGTAAGTTAAAATATTTTGTCACTAAGGACTTCTGCCAAGATGGAGGCATAGGTGGATGTGCCGTGCCTTCTCACACAACCAAGATTAGAGAAAACTAAATATTAGCAACAGAAAACACAGCCAGAACACGGAAAATTGAACTTTTCGGAAGTCCGTTAACAACAAATTCTTCAGCCTGACCGGTAAGGGGCGAAACCAGCGGCTGGCGGAGCAGGGCTGCACAGGAGGACTAGGCCAGACACACTCAGGCCCGCGGAATCCAGGCGCAGGGTCAGACCTAGTGAGCGACCCAGCGAGCAACCAGGCGAGCGACCGAGGGGGAGACAGCCGGGCCCGGGGCTGCGTGTTGACTGAGGTCGCGCATTTGTGCGAGGGTGGACAGGCGAGAGAGTGGGCGGTTGGACTGGGCCGGCAGGTCCCCACGGCGAGCAGCAGTGGAGGGCGCCGCCATTTCCCTGCTCTGACCCCACCTCCACATACAGCGTCATAACCCAGCGACTCTGAGTGGCCCCGGCCCAGGTGAACCACCTAGGGCACTGCTCCTCTGCACCCAGCTGTGAGAAGCGGCAGAGGGGGCCGCCATTTCCCCGCTCTGGCCACGCCCCCACATACAGCGTCACAACCCAGCGACCTGGGAATCCAAGGCGCCGCTTCTCACATTTAAAGGGCCCGAACAGACCAAGAATGGCGCAGGAGGAGCTCAGAGCCCCAGAGCCAATAGATCTAAGCGATGAAGAAATAGCAAAACTCACAGACGCACAGTTTAAAAAATTGGTGATCAGGATCCTCACAGAACTGGTTGATTATAGCCACAAATTAGACAAATATATGAGGGCGAAACTAATTGAAATGAATGGAATTGCACAGGACACCAATAGCAATGAAAAGGAAACTGGGACTCAAATCAATGGAGTGGACCAGAAGAAAGCAAATAATGGCCAAACAGAAAAGAGTCAAGAAGCAAGAATTCAAAGAAATGAGGAGAGTCTTAGGAACCTCCAGGACATCTTTAAACGCTCCAACATCCGAATTATAGGGGTACCAGAAGGGGGAAAGGCACAGCCACCAGTGGAAAACTGATTTGAACAAATAATAAAGGAGAATTTCCCCAATCTGGCAAAGGAAATAGACTTCCAGGAAATCCAGGAAGCTCAGAGAGTACCAAAAAAGTTGGACCCAAGAAGGAACACACCAAGGCACATCGTAATTACATTAGCCAAAATTAAAATGAAGGAGAGAATCCTAGAAGCAGCAAGAGCTAAGGGGACAGTCACCTACAAAGGAGTCCCCATCAGACTGTCAGAAGATTTCTCAAAAGAGACCTTACAGGCAAGAAGGGGCTGGAAAGAGGTATTCCAAGTCATGAAATCCAAAGACCTACAACCAAGATTGCTCTATCCAGCAAAACTTTCATTTAGAATGGAAGGACAGATAAGGTGCTTCTCAGATAAGATCAAATTCAAGGAGTTCATCATCACCAAGCCCTTATTATATGAAATGTTAAAGGACTTATCTAAGAAAAAGAAGTTAAAGAAACATGAACAGTGAAAGGACAACAAACTCACAGTTATTAACAACCACACCTAAAACTAAAGCAAACTAAAAGGACAGCTAGATCAGGAGTGGAAACATAGAAATGAAGATCTCAAGGAGGGTTAGCAACAGGGGAGTGGGAGGAGGAGATGGGGGGAGAAGGTACAGAAAATAAGTAGCATAGACAGTAGATAGAAAATAGGGGGGAGGGCAAGAATAGCATGGGAAATATAGAATCTAAAGGACTTGAGACACATGGTCATAAACTAAAGGGGGGGTGATGGTGGGGATGGGGGGTAGGGTGGAGGGGAATAAAGGGGGAATAGAACAACTGTAACAGCATAATCAATAAAAAAATTTTAAAAAAACGAATACATAAAAAAATATATATATTTTGTCACTAAATTTTAGTCACAAAGACGGTCAAAATCTGTCTCTTATAACCAACCACAAAAATTCTAGAAAGTTTGTTTAAAATGCACTCAACGTATTATATTAACTGAGTAAGGTATTTTAATTAAGTTCTTCTAAAACCGAAAAATGTGATTTCTTTAATGGGGAGTAACTGTGGCTCTCATAGCCTTATAAGCATATATAAATATAAAACAAATACATTAGGACCACTTATCTTAAAACAAAAGGCAAGCGATTCTTCAAAGGTTAGAAGATTCCTCTCTTTGTAGAGAGGAAAGGCAAGGGGCCGCTGCTCACGGAGAAGCACAGGCCCGTCTGTGGCAGGGAGAAGCCCCCCCCACCCCCACCCCGCACTGGGGCCCCGCTGCAGAGCTGATAAAACGTTTACATTGCAAAGCCAAAGGTTAAACAAAGGAAAGGAAATGTCTCCTGTCAAGTCAGGTAGCCGCTGAGCTGAGCGTCTGAGTGGTCAGCAGGACCCTCACCCAGGTAATCAAATTAAACTAAGGAAGCTGACTTTCCGTAGCAGGACTTCTCATGTCTAGAGGCTGTTTTTCTGCCTGGAAAATTGACACAAAATGTGTACAATTGAAACATTCTGTTTCTAAGGGATTTGCCCAAAGGAGGAGTGTGAAGGCTTAAAGTGTGGTCAGAGTTAGAAGGGGGGGGACGCAGGGTCGGGGGAGGGGGGACTACAAAGGCCCGAGCCATCAATCTGTCGCCCTTATTAGACTAGTTCATTCTGGGCCCCTGGCGACAATTTTATAGTGGTCAAATTATGTTCATCAAATCAGGAAAAAAGTTATTTCTTGCATTTTTGACAGCATACGAAAGCAATTCTAAGTACAAATAACGGTAAGATTTAAACCAGTGTATGTGGAGGACATCTTTGAGATCACATTAAACCAGGACAGACGTGTTCACGGTCAGAGCCACAGGGCACAGCGGCAGCTGAACGCTCAGAATTAAACATCGATGTTCATGCTAAGTAAACCAAAATCCTAATGTTTCTTCTAAAAAGTTGAACAAAACACAGAAATCAAATATATCTACTTTCAAGTCCCCATATATAACAACATGAAATCCAGGAGGAAAAAAAACCACCCTTATTTTTTTCACAGAATCACGTGCCGGTTTTCTAGCTTGGAACTCTAGGGTGAATTGAAGTTACTTTTAAGTCTCACAAGAGTATCACCCAGGAATGGAGACCCTGGGTGCAAAACATTTCGTGCAGATTTTCTAGCTCAAAACTGTTAGAAATAGAACACTGTGCACACGTGTGTACATGGGTGTACATGGGTGTGTATGAGGGGAGGGGTGAGAGAAGTGGGTTTACACTGGGGAATCTGGGTGATGCGTGTGTGAGTTCATTGTCCTTGTCCTGAAACGTCTCTGTGTGTCTGGTTGTTTTCATTGAAAAGATGTGAAAATTCAGAGAAAAACGAGGGAGCAGTAGAGCCTTGGTCCTGCTCTGAGGGCTACCTGTGCACACACGGCCGTGAGGGTCCACGCCCCTTCCCACCCCAGCCTTTGAACTTTCACCCTGAAAGGCAACCGTGCACAGGGCTCCCCCCGCCCTCTGCCACGGGGCCACTCCCGGCCAACAGGCTTCTAGTGGGGAGGATCCACCCCGTCTGAAGCATAACACTCTCAGGGATAAAACCTGCATTTTTCAATACCATGGTCAACCCAACAGGGAAGTTTTGGCTGAAGGAGGGTTGGGAGCACATCCACATTCTGTTACTTCCGAGACAGTTAAACATTCCCTCTGAATAGAGGTTGAAAAGGACGTCCCGTACTCCAGCAAACGTTCGGAGGACGTCAGTTCTACACCAAAGTTCTCTTTGCAATGTTTGAGTTATGAAATGTGCCTTCTTTTTCTATAAACATTGCTGTAGAATCTGGCCTGGCCAATATCCAAATTACAAGCATGGTACAGAGTCCTACTTTTACAGAACATGTTATCGAGTTTGGAGTCCTGACTCATCAGGACTTGCTGGGGGACAGCTAAGCTTTGGGGTCCTTCCTCCTCAACAGACAGTGACCCCAGTGCTAGGGGTGCCCACAGGACACACAGCCCTCTCGGTCCACCGACCCAGACCCCGGGGGTGAGTGGGTGGGGCCGGTCGGAGCTGGCGGCTCACACACGCAGACTCAGGACACAACCCAAACCCACGGCTGCCGTCCAGCTTCTTGCTGTTCTTGGGAAGGACTTGTATTTTGCTAAATATTCCCATTTGGGAAAAGGAATTAAGAGACAAGAATTTGATGTAAAATTTCACTAAAATGTATACGGGTAGAAACAGCCTCTAAAATTTTTAGCGCACCGCGTTCGGCTAAATAAAATGCCTCTAACCACTCCTCCCCCGAGTCAGCACCCTTTGCCTCAAAGCAGTGAGTCACTCCCCGAAATCCAAGTTCAGGGTCACTGATAGAAATGAACTCACTAATGTAAGACTTCTGCCGTCTGTTGAATGCAAAAAGACTGTGTGAAACATACATTATTTGAAATCCCACCTAAATATTTAATTTTTCAGGAGTAAACCCCCAAAATGAATCTTTAAAAAAGCCAACTTTCCAGAAAAATTCTACTGTAACTGGTAAATCTTTAAAGCTACTGGATGCTAAATATGGAAAGTAAATAAAATTATCTTACAACTCATCTGGATTTAGCAAAAAACAAACACGGAAAAGTTTAGCGTATTGATAAGCACGCCCAGCGTCCCACGGCACAAAGGCGGGTCAGGTCCCGAGTGCCGATCTTCCGTCCCCACCACCAACGCTCACCTCAGGATGCACAAGCAAATCCTGCCCCCGGAAGTGAGTCTGCAGAACCCGAACCTCTGCTTACTCTCAACGTCCGTCAGCACGAAGGTGAAGTGCTGTCCCACTTGGTTTTGAGACACTCTGGAAGGCAGCAGTATTTGAAAACGAAGAATTGAGTGAGCATTTTCATAAAGCAAAGCAAAAGCAACAACGTGTTTAAACGTAGCACTGGTTCCTCCTCTCTGATCAGTTGGGTCCCATAGCTAGAACTGTGTTCTACAAATCAAAGTGAGCATCGAGTGTGTGAACTTGAACTAAACCATAAGTCAAATATCAAAATCAGTTACCACCTTACGGGCCAAGCAATCCGGCTAATATTTCACTAATAAGTTTTCACGTGCCTCAAGTACTTATAAATATTTCATAATTCTGAAAAAACGATGCCACTGTGGAACTGAGAGACAGGGCGAGATGACAGAACGGCCCGGTTCCGGCCCCCTTCCTGATCTTCTCAGATGGCTGCTCGGGGACCCAGCGCGGCCACCGGATGACCACTGCCCCCTCCATGGACATTCTCCCCCCATGAAGTGCCACACGGAGGGCCACTGGCCTCTCCTGGTGCCCCTTCTACAGCCACCTCTCCAATGAGAACGAACTTCCCAGCACCAAACAGGAATAGTTTCGGCAGCAAGAGCTTACCACCAAGACTGTCACCATTTTGAACTAAGTGTCACACTAGCACCGTAGCTGACAGGCTGCCTCGTACCATGCAAGGTGACTCACTGTGCAGGAAATAGGTCACAATTTAAAATACATAAGGACATTTCCTGTTACTGGCTACCATCCTTCCCATACGTGAAACAGCCATTGGGGGACATCTGCTCCCTTTTCTGTAAATAAAATACCCGTGAGACCTGAATGCCCGTTCTGAAATAGCCACAGGAATTATGTAAAGAAGTGACTGGTGGGCCAACACTACGCGCTGTTTTCAGTTGCGAGGACATATCGAACAGTGAACAAGTACACTTTTAAATGGACGGTTGTTAAGACCGTTCACAAACCTCAGGAACAGCCTCTGGTACGTCCTGCGCCCCCCAGCGCCCAAGGCTCCCGGCTCCTTTCCCAGCTCCTTCGTCCTTTACCTGGTCTCCGCTATGAATGTGAAAACTGTGACCCTGGCAGGTAGGACAGGTGCCCCCGGAAGAAGGTAAAATGAGGCAGTCACCCAGGAAACACTTTCTGGGAGCCACTGGCCCATCATTCCGCATAGCATCGCTAATACTGTAATGGTCTAGGGTTTTTACTCATCTTTAGCGAACTATTTTCCTACATATGTATTTTCTTGTAGGATCCCCTCCTGCCATGTTCTCTAAAACACCGATAACATGTGTGGGGATCCCACGAAAAGCGAATGATCCATCGTGGTGGCAAAGGGCTGGGTGCTCTGTGGAGTCCCACTGCACACAGGTCCGCCCTGGGGCACTGTCTCAGTAAGACACAAACATCACGGGGTGCTCAGCTCGGCTGGGGAGAGTCCCCTGCAGCCGCCCTGTGTCTCTACAGATATTCTTGGGAGACAGCAGATGGGGGCCAGCATGCACACAGCTCATCTTACAAGGCCCGGTTCTGGGGCTCCAATCAAGGACGCGGTAGCCCGGGCCCTTCCAAAAGTGTGTGGCCGCAGCCTGTGCCCCCGAAGCACAGGAGGAAGACACGGAACCTTAAGGCGCGTCCTAACCGGCCACAGGGGGGGAAACAAAACATGGGAGGACTTCAAACTCGTCTGCATCCCCCAGATTATTTCCTTTGGAGGCTCTGGTCTTTCTGTGTTGCTGGCACTAAAGAGAAAGGGCATTTCATCTCCTTCAAACCCATGCAGCAACTTCTCAGCCGTCACTGAGATGGGCAAAGGGACTTAAACGATGACTTTGCTGTACCTTTCGACGTCAAAGGGGAAACAGAACTTCGGTACAGTCTGGAGCACCTCCTGGAAGGCAAATTTAAAAGAAGAAAAGCTTTAGAATATTTACAGAGATGCACTTACAACCTTTGTGAGATGTCTTCTAGGGGATAAAGGGAGGGGGGTGTTGTTTCTTAAGAAAACCAGCCCAGGCCCTAGACTAAAATAATTGATTATGGAAAAGGAATGAACTGCAGGCCCCGGCAGATTGCAGGGACAATGCCCACAGGCCCCGGGGGGGCGGGGCCTGGCCTGAAGGGTATTAACACCCTTCACCTCCCCGCTGGGGTCCCCTCAACAAGGCCATATGGATTTTACAAGAAGCGCCGCACCATATGGGGAAGCTACTGGTCCCACAGACTAGCCACAGGGACTTCTGACAGCTCCTGGCTCAGAAATAGAAATGTTGTTTCAATTAAAATGCAGGCGGAGCGAAGGGGCTGAAGCTTGCGGCAGAATGGATTACCGAGAGGTGTAACAACTGGACGTGCCCCGCAGGAAAACGGCTTAGAAAAAGACTAGGTGGCTGAGGAAGACGTTTAGTGATTCAACTCTTGGTAAACTCCGTGACAGGAACGCTACGTTGTATCTCAAATAAAACCCTGCCATGTACATCTAGAAATAAGCCTTTACATTGAAAACAACGCAGCTTCTGTTCTGTGCACTTTCATTTAAAAATTGCCTAATGTAAAAATCGATGTTTCCGTTAAGCACAGAAAATAAGCTTATTGATTTTGAAACCCGCAGGGATTTCACAGTCATTCTAAAATAATTTTCAACGCTTTTAGAAATCATACACATATTCACAGTTATAACAACATGCAAATAACTGTCGGCCATTTGGCTGAAAATAGAACAAGATCTATTTTGTTCCATATGAAAAAACAACTTAAGATTAACTCTGATCCTTAAATTAAACCTTAGAATTGCAGTTAACATCATACAAGTTCAAAGCCAGGTAATTTTACAAAACAAAGTAGAGATTTATGAGCCTTTTATTCCTGTTAAAAAGAAATTAGTGCCAATATCTTAAGGCCACAGACACCCCCTCTCCGCCTAAAAATACCTTACCCATTAACTCTTTACCAACATAACCTACACCCAGCAAAATCACCAAAATCGAAATACCTAACCTTATAGAGAAACATAGGATTGAGTGTTTTAAAGTGGAGTCTCTCACGCTCGTTCCAAACCTGGACTGCAGTGAGGTTTCCACCGAAGTCAAAACGCTATAACGTCCCAACGCTGATGCCTCAGAGGCCCCCAGAGCCCTGCGCCCCTGAAGCAGCGAGAGGAGGACCCGGTGGCAAAGCCGCCTCGTCTTCAGGGCTGGGCGCCTCGTCTGCTTGGGCCCACGGACCTTGAAATGCACCACCCCATATTTGGAAGGACTGTTTCACTACTGACAATGTTTTGCTAAATGGAATTAAGGGAGCGGCTACACTTGAAATGAGTGAAATTACGGAAACTGGAAATGCTTCAGTGCACGAGAGGACGGTTCGGGTGGCCACACCAGGCCTCATCTTGCGCTGCAAGCATGAGGCCATCCCCGAACTTGCAGCTCCTGCGAACACGGCCCGGTGAGCGCCCACGAGGCGTTCACACCGTCTCCGCAACGGCAGACACGCAGCTACAAAGTGCATTGTCTGCTTCCCGACACCCGAGAGGAGTGGTCTGTCTCCCATCCATTCTAAGCCACAAATTAAGAAGGCCTCCCCTCAGTGGCTCCATCTCTCACACACATCCCCCCCACCCGCCTCCTCCCACAAGCAACACACACACACTCACAGGCTCTGCAAAAAAAGCCTCCACTCGCTTCCCAACTGGCAGACGCGCCCCTCAGGGGCCAAGTCTTTAAACCTCCGCACTCTTTAAAATTCAGCCAGCCAGCAGGTCTATAGACTCGTGTATAAACAGTGTAGACAAAAAAGTCCCCTTGCAGCTTATGCCGGCGACAAAGCAGCTCAGCGGCCCACGGCTCCCCCCGCACCCCTCCCACCTCCCACCCCCCCACCCCCGACAGTGGGAGCCGGGTTTACACAGATCAGTAGGTGGGAGCCTGCCCTTGCTCCCAGGACTCTGCATGCCTCCTTAATTACAGGTGCTGTTCAAGCTGGAGGCGGAAAAAGAGGGGGAGAGAAGGGGGGGGAGAGGGGGCCAGAGGAAGAAAGAAAGAGAACTGGGGAGAGGAGTAAGATGCATGCAATTAGTTCTGGAAGATCCTCGCAGCAATAATGTTTGAAAGTTGGCCCACGCCGTGTTTCCTTCTCTCTCTCTCACACACACACACACACCCAGGCTGGCATCCACAGATTACGTAAAGGTGTGCAATAATGCCCTTCCACCGTGATTTTTCCCTGGGTTTCTACAGGCTTTGGCTCTCACAGAACGCCTCGTTTTCCCAGCCAAGAAACATGCTTTGGGTTTTCAAAATCTTCTTCATTTGCTAAAGCATTTTATTGGTTTACAGGAGGAACACACTGACAAACAGGTCAGATGTTAGGAATAAAAACAACCAAGGCGAAGAAAGAGGACATAAATTACGAACAGCAACAAACGGTGCAGCCACACACCTACCTGCCCGCCTCCTAAAAACAATGCACCTGCCCCAGGGAAATGCCTGAAAAGAGGGTGAAAACCTCACCCTACTTCTCCCCCCACCTCCGTGTCGGCGCAGACCTGGATTCTGATCAGTTGACCTCGTGAGAGAAAAGACAGCAAACTGCTAGTGTTGGCTGACATATTAAACCTTTAACGCCACCATGTTACCATTCAGTGTTACAAACTGACCAACTAAGAGGGAAACAAGCTAAAATACGGAAAGCTTACTTCCTAATTATAGTTCAAGGACGACAAAGGTCCTGAAACTTCCATGAAGAAAACCGAAGCTGAAATGAGATGTGTCGCTGTCGGTACCAGCGCGGCTTTTCCTCCAACTCAGCGGCTCCGCCCCTGCCCTGCGCTGGAAACCCCGACGTTCTCCGAGGTCCCCCGCGCCCCACGCCCTCCTCTGCACCTCCCGCAGTGCGTGCACCTGCCTGGCGCGCTCGCCGACATCCACGGGGTCAACTACAGCTAGCACATCTCTGGGTCTTCGGTTCTGATGTGTCTGTGAACGCCAGGATTACACACCTAACTACTTTCTGTTACCACATCCTGAACGTTCCCCAGACATGCGGAATGGACAACATGGACGTGAGCCCTTCAGTCACTGTCCTTATCACTTCGAATGGCAACACCATCTGCCCAGACACCCGAGCCGGAAACATGGCGGCTGTCTGCACCCCTCCCTCTCTGGGATCAATCATCTGCCCTATGCAATCCACCGTCCACCAAATCCTGTTACTCCAATTCCGTAACTAGCTTACTCCAGAGGTTCTCAGTGGGAGGGCAGAATGGATTAGGAGGATGATGGCAGAGTATAAGAATCAATGGGGAGGGTGGTTAAAAACACACCTGAGCCCTGGCTGGTGTGGCTCAGTGGACTGAGTGCCAGCCTGTGAACCAGAAGGTCTCCAGTTCAATCCCCAGTCCAGGCACGTTGCCTGGGTTGTGGGCCAGGTGCCCAGTAGGGGGTGCTCAAGAGGCAGCCACACACTGATGTTTCTCTCCCTCTCTTTCTCCCTCCTTTCACTTCTCTCTAAAAACAAATACAAAACAAACGTAGTCTGCGTGCACCAGGGAGCCTTCAGGGCCCCAACTCCCCAGCTTAGCTGGAGCGGCCCCTGTAACGGAAGAGCAAGGCAGACCACGTCAGGTCAGGGTGCCTAATGAGTGCGAGGAGCGGTTCTTCTCTCAGGACAAGAAGGGACCAGGCAGACTTGCTCGGGGGACCCTGAACTGATTGACGCCCGCCTTGGGGACTCGGGTCTCGGCCCCTCTGTTCCACCTCTGAGTTGGTGGCTCTCCTCCTGGTCACAAAGGGACCCGCCAGACTGGTACACATCACGTGAAGTCACCGCCCTGTCCGGTCACAGCAGCATCTCTCTGTGTGGGTCTCTTTCCAGCAGGGAGGACCCCTTCCGGGAGGCCCTGCACCGACGTTCCCATTCTGTCCAATGAGCCAGAAGGTCAAAGCCGCCCCGGAACTCATCGCGGGCGAGCAGAGGGCTGCCTGTGCTTAGCTCAGCCTGTGTTTCACCTGCCGGCTCACTCTCCACCACCGTGACACGTAAGGGGCCTGAGTGGCGTGTCCACGTTTTCTTTCTGAAGGCTCCTCCCAGAAACTTAACCAGCTACGAATTAAATTCACACCAAAGTTCTCAAGAAAAATATCCTGTGACAGTGTATGGACAGTTTTGAAACACCCATTTAATTCATCTGAATAACGCTTTTGGAATCATTTTGTAACAAGGAGGGATACTTGTCCATTTCAATATCATTCACAAAGGGCATAGGTTTCCAAAAAATGATTACTTAATTTTGGATATCATCTCCCAAAATAAGTGAGAATCCATTAATGCTAGGCATTCAATCTACTTGCGCTTTACAGAGAGAAATAATGACCTTTGTTTTTCTCACAGGGGACATGCCCTGAGCCACTGGGCTGTGCGCAGGCCCCCTGGGGAGTTCAGGGACGGCCGGCCGGCAAACCCGCGGGGGCTCGGCCAGGCGGTTGGAGGATTAACTCAGGGTACACGGGATTAAAAGCAGGAATCACGTCTGTGTGGCAAACTGCACACGTAGCCTCTTTAAACATCATCTTCTTGTGTTTTTTAAGAAGTATGTTAAACTCAGAGAATATATTTTCCATTAACTGAAGAATAACTGTCAGAAAAACTGAGCCTACTGCAGCATCTTTCTCTTCATTTTTACTTCTATGTAATGTATCTACTTGAAATAAATTTCTCTTTCATACTTCCTCCTTCAATTAGGAAAACCACTGACAGTCCATGAATTCCAACCCTAAAATTGTTCAGACTCTTACCAAGTTGTTTCTCTCTATTAAAGTTGAAAATGAATCTTTACTGTTGGAAGATTTAAGTAACTGCCATGAAGCCAAAATACTGTGCTGTGGACACACAAAG